CAAATGCCAGTGTCTTTGGAGACTTGCTTTTTCCCCTGTCACATCTCACCGGACCATGCCCTTCTCACTAACAAACTCCCTCATTTCTTGAGGATTGTGCAAAGGAACTCTTACTCTCATTTTGATGGGTACTGAGTCTTCCCTATTTCCCCAATCACCTTGGCATTTCAAGGTGATATAAAAGGGACAATGGCCCCTTTCTATATGCATGACAGGGACAGTCTTTAATGAGTTGTGTGGGCCAGGCTGGGGTTGGGGGGGGGGAAGCTAGGGCACCTGAGGTCTCAGGAAATGGTGCAGTGAATGCACTTCTTCCAAATGCACCCAAATCACTGGCAAGAGGCTCCCTCCTCCAGAAGGGCTGTTGCTACTCCCTCCATTCCTCTTGGCCACTTTATAACTTTCTGGCATGTCCTGAGACCAAGGGCAGCGGCTCAGTGCTTTACTGATGATCAGAACGGGGTCCCTGGATGCCCCTGTTGAAGTGCAGCCTTTCTGGGGCCTCTCCCCCATCTCCTGAAGGCTGGGTACCTGGTATGGGGGGTACAGGAGGAGGCAGCTGGTGCAGAGCGCTGCTGTGCCCAGGGGACGGCTGAGGCTTGAACATGGGTCATGTTTTGCTGATTGATCATCATGCCGACAAAAAGTACTGGCCAAGCGGCCCACACTGCCTGCCTGCATGTCCACTGTCATGGGGGCAAGGAGGCTCCCTCCCCCACTAAAAACCCTCCTGATGAAGACTCCCTCCCCACCTTGCTCCCTTGTCCCCACTATTGACCTCCGGTGGCTTACCTGCCCTGACATGTGGGAACCAATGTTCACCCTGCGCAGGGACCCTCCCCTGCTATCGACCCCTGCCCAGGAGCCCAGTGTTCAATCCTCTGATACTGGAGCCCTGATTTGATCAACAGCCCCCCCCCCGTGAGACCATAATGGCTGTCCCCCAGTGACCCCAGCTGTAGGGTGGCCAAAGTGCTGCAAAGTGGGGCCCTCTTGGGGTGGCAAGCATGGTTCCTGGGTAGGTGTTCTCTCACTCACCATGCACACCTGTCTATTTGTGCTTGTATATTTTTTCTTGTAACGTTCCACCCGTTTAACTGATGACTGCATCACAGGTACATCTGGGGAGACTGGCAAAGCGGAAATTTGTGTTTATGATTACTGTTTCCCAAGACTAGGCGTGTGAATTTAAAACCTCCTCCTCCTCCAGAGTCCTTTGGTCATGCTACAAGTCCCAAAGGGACAGTTAAAGAGCCAGTTAAGTTGAAACTAGAAAGGTGCATGAATACCCAATCTATCCTGTTGTGGTCCTTTAGTACTTGAAGAATTCTAGAAAAAAAAAAAGTAGTTCTTTATAGGTTATAAGCTAAGGAGGGACAGTTTGCACGGTTTGGACAAAATAGAAGTACTCTTGCCAATAAATATGTCTCAAAATGACAAATAAAGCTCTCCCCATGTGACAGCTCCGGATCCCAGCGGGAGGTGATGGGCACAGGCACAAGGAGCTATGTACAGAGTGTAAACAGTAAGGCCCTTGGGGGGGGTACCGGGGGGGGGGGCAGGGGCAGGTGATGCGGTGTGCAAGGAGGAGTACCAGCAGGGTCCACGGGTAAATACAACAGGCTTGTAAAAACAGTCATCCATCTGCCACCAAAGCTTGTGGGGGCGGTGACAGGTCTCCAGGTTCCTCCAGGCGGCAGTAAGGAGAAACTGTGTCCCAGTGACGTTTTCCTAGGGAGGCAGTGGGGCAGCCATGCAGGCCTCCCTGCCCCTTTCTCCCCAAGAGGAGGGACAGGCCTGCCTGGCCAGACTTGGGGCTGTCTACCCAGGGTTCAAGGCATGGATGGGGCAGTGTTTCTCAAATAGGGGTTGGGAGCAAATGGCCCCCCACCCAGGGTCCGCACCCCCTCCCTCCGAAAGGAGGAACTCGGGCATCTGTGTCTAGTGGGGGCCCATTACCTTCCACCCCTCCAGGGCACCGCTCCGCCTCCCTTCCTCAGGGATGCTGGAGAGCAGCTGCCCTGATCAGTTTCGAATCCCTGATCCACACGGGCCTCTTGAACAAAGCTAGCCTCTCCTCACGTCCTCGCCCTCACCCCACCTTATCCACCTCCCCTAGCACCCCCTGCCCCGACCCAGGCCTAGCTCTGGGGGTCCTTAAATATCAGTCTCCCGGAGGTCGTCGCTGTCCGCCAGTTCGTAGGCCTGACAGGTGGCGCCCTCCACGACGTTGTGGGGGACGCCAAGGGACACAGCCTCCACCTCCGAGCGCAGGGCGCCGGCGGCCTCTGCGCGCTGT